TTATAATGTATTTTCTAAAATAAAGACTTACTTTCATTTTTATACCATTAGAGACACAAAAATTACACTTTTCCATTTGCAATTAAAAAATCTGAGACATTGTTACCTGCTATAAATCAAAATATGATGGGAATTTATTATGAAAGTATTTCTTTCTGTGGAATCAGCATGTGTATCAGAGAATTTGGTTGGATAGGAGATGTTAAAGTGTGGTTCACAAGCCACATCGTCTGCATACAGAGATGGGAAGTAACGAAGTACAAATACTTCGTTACTGTACTCAAGTAGATTTTTCTGATATTTTTACTTTACTTTACTACTTATTTTTATGGCGACTTTTTACTTCTACTCCTTACATTTTTACACAAATATCTGTACTTTCTACTCCTTACATTTTTAAAAATTGGCTCGTTACTTTAGTTTTGAATCATTTCAGTGGAGTTACCGTTATTATTTTTCACGTCATCAATACCAAATTCAATCTAATTGGATGGGAATCTACGTTGCATTTGACGCACCACTACAAGATGAATCAACAGATTCGGTGGTATTCATTCGCGGCAAATCATTGCAGCTTGGTGGCGGTGGTGTTAGCATGGATTAGATTAGTATGGACGACGAGATGATTGGAAATGAAGACAACGGAAATCTAGTCCTATTGGCAGACATCCATCTAAAATGTAGGCAACGGCATGAAAACAGTGGTTTCTACTTTTACTTTTATACTTTAAGTAAATTTACAAGCCTGTACTTTGTTACTTTTACTTGAGTAAAGAAGTTTAATCAGTACTTCCACTTTTACCAGAGTATTTTTTAACACAAGTATCTGTACTTTTACTCAAGTACGGAAAGTGAGCCATCTCTGTCTGCATATAACCACTTTCTCTGGGTTTATTAGCATATTAGAATACTAGCGACTAATTATTCTCTTTTCTTATTTGTTTCATGTTTTAATGGACTTTTGGAGTACAGACTCAGATGTTAAGTAGGAATTGGGATGATTGTTAATGTTAAGGACTGTTAAAAGAAAGTTTCACTTCTTTTTAACTCTTTTCAGACTTAAAAAAAACTTGTAATGTAATTACTCATAAATAGTGTTTTTTTTTTCTTCATCGTTTTGTTGTCCTTACACTGTAACAAGTACAGAGGGAAATTAACTCTTTACCTTTTAACCCATGGGCTGCCATTGTGCGACACCTGGGTAGCAGTGTGGGGTTAAAGGTCTTTGCTCAGGGAGCCAGAGTGGCAGTCTGTGGCAGTGAGGCTTGAACTCAGAACCTTCCAAGTGCAACGCCCTAACCACTAGCCACCACTCCCCAAAGCAGTGAAGGGTCTTGCCTAAAGACCCACACTGGCAGTTCATTCCCCCGAGCTGGGATACAAACCCAGGCCTCTTGTTTGCAGGATGGGTGACTTACCACTTGAGCTAGCTAGCCACTAGTTGTTTGTATACTCTAAATTTGCAATTGATTGTCTGAAATAAAGTTATTCATTCTTTAATGATTAATTCATTCAAAATCATGCAATGCACATAATGTTAAACCTTACAGTAGATCCTAAGCCTATTTTTTACTATGGACCCACACTCCCCATTCCATTGTTTGGACATGCAAACAAATAATTCCACATAAAACTGAAAGATAATTTTCTAATTTAGTAAAATGGGATCCTTGTATTGTCGGTGTAGAGGTTGACATAAGGTTTTACTTTGTATTATTGGGGTTTCTGAACCAAAGTAGTATAACAATTTGACTGTCTTGGATAACAAGCTCTAACTGAAAGACAATTGGGCTAAAAGCTCAACTTCAAAAGGACTGAATTAAATTGCATAAAAATAAAGAATGCTCCCTGAAATGGCTCTAGTGGGTGGACCTTCAAAGTAAAAATATTATTTGAAAATAGGAAAATCAGCTTCAAAGCAAAATAATAGTTTGAAAATATAAGATCTTATTGTTTAATAAAGCAGAAAAAAGCCCCTGGAACTGCAAACATGAATAAAAAGTTGCCCAATGATTGTGAATCTCTGATGTTCTCATAATGCTCAGAGCAGTTTCTTGCGGGCTTTAGAATATTTACATAGTTTGACCCTAAAAACAAATCTTCTGGATAAAAAACTACGTCAGCGAAGCCATTCATCTCTGTTATAAGAAAATGTATTGTAAACATGTTATAGTACATTGCATACGTTTTTCCTAAAAAAAAAGCAATTATAAAAAAACAAACTTTTTTTTATCAGCTAACTTTGAAATGCAGTACTTTTATTTGCTCTGCTAGTAAATATATGAGTAGTTTTTTAGTGAGACATATTATTTTTTCATTATATTTTAATTTATATGATGCTTGAATAACCCAAGATGCCCTACAATGAAATAAGGATTGTCTCCTCTTGGGTGTCCAGAATTTATAAGAAAACAAGAGAAAGTTTTCTAAACTATTTATTTTGCTTTGGATGTGGGAATCGTATGGATTCTAAATGTGAAAAGTCAGAATTTGATGGAACAGATCTATTTCGGAGTATATAACCTGTCAAGATGACTGAATAAAATGATTTAATTCCTTTCTTTGAAAGGAAAGAAGGAACTTTGTCTTCTTGGGTCAAAGACACTATAAAATGGATGGGTATAGTGTAAGGAATCAAATAAAGTATAACTTTCAGGTTTTATGAAAAACATTCATGACTGTTTTTTCGGCTTTATTTTCACTTTGAAATTAGTTGAGTTTTTCCTATGGGCAGAAACCTCTACAATCAGAAACTTAAATTTGAAATGCACATCTGTAGATGCAATATTCAATAGTTTGAAAGTGAAGTTCACCACATTGAAAAAGAATTTATTGACGTGAAGCTAAATAACAAATGTAATTAATATTTGAAACTGAAACATGCATTTAATCTATGACAAGCACAAGAAGTGTGTGGTAAAGAAATGAGAGGCTAACAGTTACAGCTGGGCTACTTGTTGCTGTTAATACACTTGATTAGTATAGTGTGCAACAGGTTTTGCATTTTCAGTATTCCCCTTATGTCTTGAAACCATGGGAGCTCTGCCAGTGTCCCACAAAAGCAGCCATTTATATATTACAGGATAGGAAAACCCCCATACGCATGTATATACAATGACACTTATTTACCTGATGCTTCCTTTTTGTGTAATACATTTAATGCAAACTGGAAAAAATTGCTGCTATTCATTTAACATAATAGGAATCTCTGTTCAATTACTCTGGTCTATCTCAGGGTCCACCCACAAAATGGGAATTTTAGATACATAAAGGTTTTATTATTTTTACTTTACTTTACTTCACTTTCAAACTACTACAATTACTTCTGAATTTTGCATATAAATATTCGCTATAGGCAATTCAAATATGGTTTTTGAAATTTTAATTCCATTTCCAATGCCACAAGTTTTTGCCTGTATTTTTTCTCTTTTTTTGCAGATCCTAAAGTTTTTAAAACATTTGTTTTGTCTGACTTATTCTGAAGAGTTTGGTTTTATAACTTTACAGAAAGGGGAACATTGTTAGCAGACCAGTCAAATGACTTGTTCTTTTAGAATAATTTGTAGCTTTTTTTTATTTTTATATATAATTTTTTAAAGAACCTCTCTTGACTGACTTGTATATTGAATGTTAGAAACACTCAATATACAATATATAGTACATATACAATAGCCAATAAATTATTTTACAATATCATACAACTTCACTACAATTAGCATCACGACAAAGACAAAATACTCCCTCAGCCTTGTGCGCATAAGACTATGCAATTTCCTCAAAACATAAAAATACTTGAGTTGAAGAGAGGGCAACATGTTTGAAAGCATAGTGTTCTATTTAATCATAATTAAGTCCTAATTAGTCCAAAACCAAAAATTAGTAGGCAAGCTAGGACCCATTTGGAATAAAATTATAGTTAAGAATCCTTCCCTTGTAGCAAAATAGAAACATTTGTGGTGTTAATGTACTGGAGGAAAAAACATATGTGGTCCATACAAATGCATTCATCAAGAGTCTTTTTCACTTTCTGTTTTTTTGCTAATTTTTCTATCATGCTGATGAACTTCAATCAGGTTGCCAGAGGCTCTTATTAGTTTCTGGTCAGCTTCTGTAAGCTTCAGGCAAAGCTGCTAATTTGACTGAAGAGGCAAACAAGGCGATTTTGTAGACTTGCTGGCCATTTTTCAGCACTTATTCAGAAGAGGCTTGCACATTCGATCCTGAGCTACTCCATTTCTATCGATTGTGACATAAATATTTATCTAAGAATATCGGTTTTATAGTATTGATTATTCTGATATGGATTATTTTCACGTGGGGATGGAATGACCTATAAAAGTCCTAAGGGAATACAGTCTTTACAGCCTACTATTTGGACCAGTACTTTTATTACTTTTTTATACTTGACTGTACTTCCTCATCTTTAACACGGTGTGTTTGTATTTATCTTTAACTTTGTGTTTTGGCATTAAGGATAAAAATGCTGTATTGGTAAAGATTCTGTCACATTAAACTCATACGTACCAAAAAACAACTTCTTTCACCCTTTTCTTCACAGTGTTTCAGTTTAAAAACACTTCCAATTACTTAATCTAAATGCTATGTTGTGTCAAATGACAGCAAAGAAGTACATGGATTTTTAATTTAAATTTGAATGTTCATTTTTTATTTTAAAACTTGGCTTGAGGAGAACATGAATTGATTTGACCTCAGTTAAATCCTTTCCCTGAATCTGGGTGTGTCATAGCTTTGAACCGCATAGTTCTTAATTAACTCAAGTGTTTGTGGGTGCGGTGTGTTGAGGGTGTGTGTATCTAAGTAATGATAGATCATCAGCAGTAAGGAATAGTTACATAACCCTCAACCTTAACCTGTCCTGAAACTTTCGTAATGGCAAGAACATCTATTGTATTGCAGTCAGCATTAATTGCAAGTTGATATTTTGTGTTAGTCTCAGTAAAAATAATAATTAAATATTTTTTTTGTTCTTGCGTTTGCAGGTTTCAACAGGGATGCCCGCTAAGCCTGCAGTTTTCACCTTTGTGCCTCTGGTGCACAAGCTTCCAGTTGAAAGCATTCTTGCCAAGGATGAGAGGTCTGAAACCCTAAAAGGAAAATCAGATAAGGTACAGAAGCTGCAGCAGTGCAGACCTAAAGGGTAACAAAGTAAGACTTTAGAAGACTTGTTTTAGAACCTGTTATTCAACTGTTCAGGTTCAAAAGAGTGATCAGCAAAATTTTTAAAATTTAAGTTGTTGTTTTTTGCACATACATCACTACAGAGCTCAACTTAGATTGAAAGAAATACAGAGAAACAGTGCTGCGGTTTGCTACGCTCGTTTTGCTGTGGGCAGATCCAGATGGCGGTGATCCAAGTCCTCGCTGCCAAAGTATGAAGGTGATCAAAATAATTATTAACATGCTGCTTTTCAGCAAGCAGATTACAAAAAAAAAACAAACAAAAAAAACAACACACAAAACATGCTGGGCTGATATTTTTCTGAAAATAGAAAAATAATGCTCCAACCCAAAAAGGTTCATGAGGCAGAAAATCTATTTCTGCAACTGTCACCTGTGTGAAAAGATTTTCCTCTGAAGTGATTAATCATGTAAGGAGCTTCAGGATTAAATTTCTTTGCTAAGGGGGAGTAATCAATCTCACTTTCCTATAGCGTTGTAGAAAGGCACCTCCATTTATACCTCATCTTTAGGGAAAAATGGGAAGAATAAATTTACCTACTGCAGAAGCTTTTGATATGCCAATTGTGTCACACCCATTAAATAAAAAGAGTTGTAGGAATATACTTACACATTTTATTGCTAAAAGCATTAACTCACTCCTCCATATCATCATGCCCAGATGTTCCTTTCAGTGGCATGACTACAGTTGTAAACACTCAGTATCTAGGTGCACTGACTTCTTCCACAGTTTGTGAAAGAATGCATTCCTTTTAGAACCCCAATGAATTTTTAGGTTTTTGCTTTGATAATGTGCAACCTATCAACAGCTAAATAGATATAATACAAATTTCCAGCAACTGGAGACAGCAAGAATTGTCTTATTAAATGGTTTGCTACATAAGATCACAGAAACGTGTCAGGGGATGCTGGGTGCATAATGCTCAGTGAGCTCAAGAATTTTCTCAGAGTCAGTAACTACAAACCTGCAAACTTCATTTGTGCTTTAAATTAGCTCTAGAACTATACCAAAAAAGCTTTATGAACTGGGTTACCATGGCTGAGCAGCTACACTCCAGTCTGAGATAATCAGCACTTATGTATGTCTATAAATGAAAATAAAATCATGCTTACATGATTTTACTTTTGTAAGAGTAAAGTTTGGTGCAGCTGGGTTTACACTGTGGGGTTTTTTATAGGGGGGATTAAGCATCTTAAATTTAGTAAAAATATCTTCAGTATGCTTCAGCTACCCTAGACATTTAAGATAATTTTACTCTCTTGTTGCAGCATGACCCCAAACCATTGCAGAAATCATGGATGAGTGAGCTTGAAGCAGAACAATCTGAGTGACCTCCTGAGAGTCCTCACACCAACTAGACAAAAAGCATCATAATGAATTGGAGCCCTGAGTGCAAGCCAGGGGAAGCTAATTGAGGATCAGTAGCCTCTTTTACAAAGCATTTGCATAATATTAGCAAAATAAGCTCATTGTTAGAGTTTTGGCACTTAAAATATGATCCGGATTTTTTTCTGTTTGCCATTACATTTTCAAAACGATAATGGTTTAAGAGTTCAGTGCATTAAACTTTGTACCAATTTTGTTGTTGGCTGGTTAAGTACTTTTATACATGTCATCAGAGGCGTGCACAGACATTTTGGGGGGCAGGTGCTCAGGAGGGGGGGAGGGCACTTTTTAGCGCACGTGTAACACTTAATTATAAAAAAAAATAAACGCATGTTGAATGAAATTTGACTTTTATTTGTAACATTCTCTAAACGTGAGTTTTCAATGGAAAAAAGTCACATCACCAACAGAACAGACTAAAGCATACTTCTTTCATCTGGCTCATCTCCCTGTTTTCCCTCACCCATCTGTTCTCCCTCATCCTGGTCTTTTTCTGTCTCTGTGTCTTCCCTGAACTCTTCCTCATCTCCTGTCCTGTTATATGTTGATGGTATAGAGCTTCCCTGCTGTGACTGGCTACAATATATTAATAATAACCATCATGACAATAATAATAATGATAATAATAATAATATTACCTTTAATAAATATGCCACATTAGTTTAAATAATGGGCTATTAGGGCAACATGACTGGAAGTCTTGTCACGTGGATATGACTTATGGTAGCCTACAAAATAATAGCTATTTTAATACCTGCTGCACAAACCACTTAAAAATAAAATGTGAACAGCTTTTAAGATTTTTCAATATGATTAACCCTCCTTTCTTGGCATTGTGCTGCAATTACTAAATCAATATACAATTAAGACAATAAAGAGACCAAAATGTGTTAATTTATGTTGCCTAACAAAACCTATACAACAGAAAACGTTTGTCTTAACACATAGATTTGTACAGAAGAGGATTAGGACCACTGAAAAAAAAAAAAGTTAACTGATTTTTAAATTTTATTTCAGTTTAACATGGGAAAAAAGTCAGAATTTTGACTTTTTTATTGTCAGAATTCTGAGATTAAAGTCAGAATACTGAGCAAAAAGTCAGAATTCTCAGCAAAAAGTCAGAATTATGAGAAAAAAGTTAGAATTATGAGATTAAAGTCAGCATTCTGACTTTTTTCCCATACTAAACTGAAATAAAATTTAAAAATCAGTTAACTTATTTTTTTTTTTTTCAGTGGCCCTAATCCTCTTCCGTAGATTTGCAATTGCAAACTCTACCAAAATAATTTGTAGCCTATGTGGTCGTCCTCACATTATCTGTCATTGACTTGGGCTACAGTGTAAAACTTTCAGAATCAGAATCAGGTTTATTGCCATTGTTAGTGAAGGAGTTCACAAACTAGGAATTTTTTATGGTACAATCGTGCAACATGAAACATATAATATGGAATAGGTAAATAAAATTATAAAAATATCTAAAAACTGTGGGTATACGTCATGCAATAAAATAGACTAATGTATACACTTAAGATAAAAAATATGGATACAAAATATAAAAAGTAAAATAGCATCTTACAAGGAGACAACTAGTTTATCTGGTGACCAGTCGGCAAAATGCGTGTTTGGTGCTGCTGAATGAGACATTTTAATGCTCAACAAAATGATTCTGCTTGATCTGTATATTACCTGGCTAATGGGGCACGGGAGAAGCAGCCTGTCAGCGACCGTTCCGGCTATCTGAAAACTGCTATGATGCTGCGCATCTGGCATGCCCTGCAGGCGACCGAGCGAGTTCACGTGACAAAGGAAGAGAGAGAGGCTGGTCGGGTGTGCGCAAGTAGGTCGGTCATTTCGGGGCATTGTTTCAGTCGTTTTTAATGGCTCAGGTTTTCAAAAGATCATTTCAAAACCGACCTCAGTAAAATCTTAATAATATTAATAATAATAATAAAAAAAAACGAGTTTCAAAAGGGCATTTTCTTTGATAGAGGGCAAACTTCCTAGTGCTTTAGCACCACCTAGTGTCTATGTGTGCACGCCCCTGCATGTCATCTTCATTCTCTTGTAACAAATATTTCTCTGTATTTTTCATGTTTTTGGACGTTGTTTTGTTATTCACCCATCTTAGACGTCAGCATTATATTCCTCCCTCAGTCTGCTAGCCAGCTATCCCCATTCAAGTCTGCTGAGTCAAGGTTGACAAAAGGACAGAGTTACTTTTGTCAACCTTGACCTTTTCAAAAATAAAATACATAGCTCAATCCCTTCTTGAAGTTTTTTGTAAAAACGGCCACTCGTACTCGTACTCGTACTCGTCGTCTCCCGCTTTATCCGGAACCGGGTCGCGGGGGCAGCAGACTAAGCAGAGACTCCCAGACTTCCCTCTCCGCAGACATCTCCTCCAGCTCTGTTGGTGGAAGCCCTAGACGCTCCCAGGCCAGCCGAGAGACATAGTCTCTCCAGCGTGTCCTGGGCCGTCCCCTGGGCCTCCTCCCGGTGGGACATGCCTGGAACACCTCCCGAGGGAGGCGTCCAGGGGGCATCCGAAGAAGATGTCCGAGCCACCTCAACTGACTCCTCTCGATGTGGAGGAGAACCGGCTCTACACTGAGCCTCTCCCGAATGACCGAGCTCCTCACCCTATCTCTAAGGGAGAGCCCAGCCACCCTGCAGAGAAAGCTCATTTCAGCCGCTTGTATCCGGGATCTCGTTCTTTCGGTCATGATCCAAATTTCATGACCATAGGTGAGGGTAGGAACGTAGACCGACCGGTAAATTGAGAGCTTTGCCTTTTCGCTCAGCTCTCTCTTCACCAGGACAGACCGGTGCAGCGTCCGCATTATTGCAGCAGCCGCACCGATCCGTCTATCGATCTCCCGCTCCATTCTTCCCTCACTCGTGAACAGGACCCCAAGATACTTGAACTCCTCCACTTGAGGCAAGGACTCCCCTCCAACCCGAAGGGGACATGCCACCTTTTTCCGGTCGAGAACCATGGCCTCGGATTTGGAGGAGCTGATTCTCTTTGTTTGTCTCTTTTGTTTTCTCTTAAAAACGGCCACTGTTTGACCTCAAACGTGAACTTTCGGAGTAAAGGCTAAAACCTTTCCAGAAACATACTTCCAAACCTTGGTTAACCTCCACCAAAAGTATTGAAGCATCATATTGAGAATAAGTACATTTTTGTGCGAAAATTACATCTCAGTTGCATCATCCACCAATCAAATGTTGAGATATTCCATTTTAAATTGAGAAAATTTTAACCATATTCAGATATCTCTGGCTATGTGAGGTTCGAACATCAAAGATTTTTCAAAAGTGACCTCAGAAGTCCAATTAGATGCAATGCTACAAATCATGTGAACATTTAGAAGCATGACATTTTAAAACAGAAATTAGATATTAACAGAAACAAGCATCATACAATTTCTTTTTAATTTTTTTTTCCGTTTTATTTTATCAGGGCACAAGGATATGTACAGATAATGTTAAAGTGCATTGCAACATTAAAAATAACCTTTCCACAGGGCAGGTGTTGGCCCCCTAAGGTGAAGGATTGCTAATAGATGTTTATCCAACATAGACATCAGAATGGCACCTCAGTGCTGGATGCCTGAAGTCAGCTTGCAGGCTCCCTGATGTTGACTTCAAAGCATTTTTTTACTAAAGGGTGGGGGAATGACCCTATTACTTTATGAAATTACTGCAATGTTATACCCCCCAAGGATTGGTAAGCCTTTAGGAAGTCACATTGAGCATAGCACTAAATTCATCAAACACATAAATGAGGATAGTTGTTTTGTTTGTTCTTAAAAAAATGCAAACAAACAACAAAAGTCTTGGTTCTGTGGTTTGTGTACCAAATGTGCTTTTGTTGTAAGTCTAATATATTTTTGGACTTGGTTTTATGACTGTAAAATGATAAGATAAGCCTAACTGTAAGCATAAAAATAGCTCCAGATAGAGATATTTTTTTTCTGCCAAAAGCAATGCTATACAATGCTATACAATTGTGAACACCCCACTGTTGAAAATCTAAGCATCAAGAAAGTCTGCCTGCTTTAAAGAAACACTATCTTAACCATCAATTCACTGAGGAATTCTTCAGAGGAATCAAGTTCAGGGTTCTTCCTTGATGTTTGCACTTCCCTGACCAGAGCATAATTAAGTTTGTATACAAGAACATCAAGAGAATGATGTCTCCTACACAGAAGATCTAACACAATGCATGACACAAGGTTCAAACAAAGGCAAAAGTCACAGTGTACTAGAAATAACTACCAAGAAATACTTTAAGAGGTTCAGGAATCCATGGAGATAATATATATATATATATATATATATATATATATATATATATATATATATATATATATATATATATATATATATATATATATATATATATATATATATATATATATATATATATATATATATATATATATATATATATATAATAAGGTTTTTGTACCCAGAACCTCCTGAATTCATAGTAAAGTTCAGAAATAGCACTCTCAAGTTCCGCTTATGAATTTGCAGTCAAGTCACCAGCAAGAGCTTTGTAGCACAAGTGTATGAATTCTCTGTCAAATGACTATGCCACTTTAAATTAGAGTGTGTTCTTCCTCTTTGTCCTTGGTCTTTTGTAAATCGCAGATTGCCTTCAGCTGTCTAAATTACTTGAGGTGAAAGCACAAAGGCAGATATCTTTGAAAATGTCTTTTTGCTTTTTCTAATGCTCTGATATTTGAAGTTACTCGGATTTTAGAAAAGAAATGCACATTGGGCAGCAACATTTTGAACAAAATTCAAATTAGTTTTTCAAGACTCTTTAAGAACAATGTAAATATCACAATATGTTTATCTTGCAGCTTTTCATTTTTTTAGTAATTGCATAAATTTACATTTTTTAATCCTTAGTATGATATTGATTGAAAATAATTAACAGTAACCTACAATTGAAAGCCATCCAGCAACAAACTTTCTATTTTTTCTAGAAGTTCTCATTCTGAAGTTCTCATTCTATAGGCCTTTTATTTGTCTGATTCATGGTTATTCAAGAGGCTCCCAATGAATGAATTTCTATGTTTTTAGGGTAATTTTCATCATGAATAAAAACATTTGAGCCAATGGTGATGCTAAGTGTCAAAATGTTTTCAGGAAAACTAAGCGAAAGTCTGGTTGTTTCTGATCTAAGCCTGTTTTGTGGTTACCATGACATGGATGACCGATGACTAGGCATGTCTGCAAAATTCAGGTGCAGTCCATTGCAGTGCAGTCATTTGTATGCGGAGAGAACCATGGGGGAAGAACACACCCCATGTGCAGGAGTCTCTGCTGATGATCCGCTAAAGCAGGCATTATGAGCTTGGTGCTCTTCAGGACTGACAATGTTGAAGGCTGAGCTGAAGTCCACAAACATGATTGTGGTGTATATTGTGGTTTTTCAAAGGGGTACAGGATAAAATATGGTCCCAGGTTGACTGCATCACCTGCAGACTTGTTTGCTTGGTGAGCAAACTGCATGGAACCTATAGGTGATTCCATCAGGGGAAATGACCTGTACTGATTTTACCCTGTACCCAGTGTGTTTCTAGGAGACCAAGATGATGATGCAGCATTTTAAAGCATAAGGGAATCTCACACAGGCTTGATTAAGATATTAGTGAAGATGGTGGCAAGTGAACTGGCACAAGCTTATGAATAAAAATCTTAATGACATCCCCTGCAGTACCTTTGTGAATCCCACGTTGAAAAACTAAGCTCCAATAGATTTTTTTTAAAGAAATGTTAACATTTTATATACATATATACATCTTTAATAGTAAATGCATATCTCATATACAAAGAGCCTATAAATCAATGTAATAGAAATATGAATTTGGACAAAAAAAAAAAAAGAAAAAAGTTATTTATAAATTACTCAGTGGGAGGCATGCATTTTTTTAAACCATTCCAAATGCTGGCATGAGAGTATTTGAATGAGTAATGTTTGGTGAGGAGCATTCCATGAGACTGGAGGTTCTGTTTGCCATGAACCTAATCTACGGCTTCCATCCAGATATATATTTTTCAAATTCAGATTTCAGATCCATATAGAAGGCAGGAGAAAGATATTTGTAATATATAAAGGTTACTCTTAAGTCTTTTAGAGGTGTGAAAAAATTTGGACCTTAATAGTACTGAAAGAATCTAATAAAAACTTTTAATTTTTTGAGGAAACATCTCAGCTTGTTATTCATCTCAGGAAAATTTTTATTAAAGTAGTAGAGGTCTGATAAATATTTAACAAAAATCACAAATTTGCTTTTATCAGCTTAATGTTGCATGATTTTGTTAGGTAGCTGACCTTTCAAATGACCAAAATAAAAAAAGGTATGTGAGATTATTTAAATTTTTTTTAGGGGCATTCTGTCACAATTCTTCTCCACTCAAAGGTTCTTTAAAACATTAGCATTTTAAAGAGTCTGGGACTTAATTATCAAGGGATTAAAGGTTGACGTAGCCAGATCAAATGGTCTGTCAAGGGCATTTTGAAGTGACCTAGAAGACAACAGGTAGAATATATGAAAGGTCACATCTAAATGTGTTTTCTAAGGATGTTAAAACAATAAACGAGCCTCAAACAAAACAGCCATTTCTACAGACTGAGTTGGGAACTGCATATATCTAGACATGGGATTTGGACTGACATGCTGATTAGCTTGGGCCCTTACCTCAGCTCTTCTCGGGTTTCACTAGTGCTGGTCCACATAGATGTTTTTTCTCTCTCCCTGATCAGAGCATTGCTGTGTCCCAGGAGAGGACAACCGGAGAGGCCATGTCACAGGAAGACATTTGCAAAGCGGAGATTGTCTTTATCAAGGACGTTTATGAGGAAGGAGTACGGAAACTTATCCAACTGGAGCAAGAACCTCAGGTACATTAAAATGAGTAAAAGAAAAGGAATTATTTTATTATTCATTCAAGATTAGTTATCTACAGAAGAAATATTGCTACAATGTGTTCAATTGGAACCTTAAGGATGCAATCTTTAGTAAACAGATTATTTATAAGAAAGTAAGGCAAGTATAAATTAATTGTAACTGACATTTTATTCTGCATGTCCAAGAGGTTTTAGCTTATCTTATATTAGATTCATTCTTAGACAAAATTGGAAAATAAAATCTATCTAATCTATTTTTTTAGTATAGTCCACCAGATCATGAAAGCTTCTGTGGATCCAAGTCTCCTTCAGTCAGTGCCTGTTCTGAAAATACACCCAAGCATGAGGCCACGGCGACAGTCTCTATGGAAACAGTTGTTGATAAATGCAGGGGCAGTTCCTGGCAGCAGTGCTACGATATCTCTGGGCATTCTGAACATAGCTTGGGGTACATGGCAAACACAGTGTCTGTGTCAGAAGACAGAACTAGTCCCATAAATTCTCCAGACCTCTTCCCCACCCCTTCTTCCTCCAGAGAGTCCATTCTTTCAGAGGGCTTGGATAAAGAGCGGAGTTGGTACTCCATGCAGCCGTCCTCTGTGGCTTCTCCTACTTCTTTTAGCAGAACTGTTTCTCAGTGTTCATCTATCCGCTCTGGAGTCTTCTCTCCTTCTGTGGTTCAGATCAGGAGGCACGTTCTTGCTCCTGGCTCAAGTCTGATTCATACTCCTCAGTCCTGTTTCTCATCCTGTGACAGTCTGTCCTCTTCCACTTGTCAGCAAAGTCCCCCTTCCCGGCGTCGCCCCCCTCTCACCCGGCTCTCCCTCCTCACTGCAATACTTAGAAAAGGTCGTCTTCCTGTGCTGTCTTCTGGGCTGCAGAGGCCTTACACCCCCTGCTGGCCTGTTAACCCTGTGACTCTGTCTGTCTGCAATGCATGCTCAGCTGCCTCCAGTGTGGCCTCTGTTCCCCTGGAGATTTCCTCCCGGTTCTCTATGCCCACCTCTGTAGACAGTCGAAACCGTGCTAACTGGGAGCCCAGCAGGTTTCACCCTTCACCTCTAGCTGCAGAGTCAAGCAAACCCCTCATGGAAGGTCCTCAAATTCAGGTGACAAGCAGTCAACTTAGGAGAGAGCTGGTAATTTCACCTCCACTAAATAAAAGCAACACGATCCCTGAAACCTTCCCACCTCTGCTCCCAAGTTTAAAATCCATTTCCATGGTGCGGCATGAAAAACCTGCCATGAGGGCTTGTACCAACAGCTTTATTTCTAAGCTGCAAAAGCTAAGCCCTACCATGCTCCTCACAGACCATACAAATAACTCCAAAAAGGTAATTCCCTCAACCTCTAAATCTATTAAAGAGCGTGAGAACTCTGTGCCTCTGAAATGGACTTGCCCACCAAATTCATCTCTCTCAAGGCTCCAAAGGCTGTCTCAGCAGCTAAGATCTCAGCCTGGCTTCCCGTCTCCTCTGCGTCCCGCTCCTGAACAAAATACACCTTTGGAAACAGGTTCCTCTCTGTTGGATTTGCAAGAAACAACAAAGTCTGGGGGTGACAAGTCAGAGGGGAGCCGCCCTGTTTCCACACTTCAGACTTTTCAGAAAGGTCACAACCTATCTCCTTCTTGCTACAAAACAGTAGCTTTTCCTGGTTGGTCATCCCCCACCAATTCAGCCACTCCTACACCCTCTCCTGCCCCACCAAGCAAAGACTTCACCTCTTCGCCTTCCTGGTCCCAATGCTCCACGCCATCCCCAAGGCCAGGAAGTGGGATTTCAGACTGCTCAGGCAGGGAGGATAAAAAAAGAAAGGTAGTGTCCTTGTCTGTCACAAGCATGAGTCTGAAGCACTGGTGATGTTATTTCTTTTCCTGGCTCACACTGTTCTCTCACGCACAGTAGTTAAAATGACATGTCATCTGGTGTTAGGATATCAAGTGTTGTGCTCTGTATTTAGATTTCTGTTTGTGTTTGTCACATGACCCATTGCTGCTGGTATCAATTGGTAGAGATTTTCACATTAGTGCTGAAGACAACACATCTGGTAGTCATGTTATTTCTAATATGAATCTGCCTTGGAATAGAAAAAAACACGATAGGATTTAGACTTCAAAAGCTGGTGGATGAAGTTGATTTTTTTGTTTGTTTTATACTTATTTTAACAGGGAAACTTAATAACTTTTTGTATGAATGAGTCAGTGGTTTTGTGACTCATTATTAAGAAAACATAAACTGAAGGACATTTACAGTAATGAGCCATCTGGGCAGCAAAGCACCCTTGTTGTCTGGAACAATGAATAAGCCACACACAAGATCTTGCAAATAGAATATTGTCTTATATTTTTTTCTTTTAAAAGTCTTTCACATTGCGAACAAATAATAACATATATTGAATTATCTCTGACAAGCAAGCAAAGGTAGATAATTGTGATAGAAAAAGGAAAACTGAATATGATAGAAAAAGGAAGGGCTGAATGCAAGTTAAGCTAAATCAATGATTTGGGGAGCAACTTTTTGCTGTAAATAGTATTACAAGGCTTTGGGGTTTGTTTCTACGGAAGCCTAGAGCAGTCATGTCCCTCTGATACTTTCGTATGAACATCCTCCCCATAATTGCAAATGCTATGTTTGTTATGTCAATGACAATTGATGAGTTGACACAAGATTCTCATAGGATTATGAACCACTGCCAGCTTCACAAAGCAGCGTTTTTCATATTAATTACATAGAGTTGGGCCTTATTTATTTATTGGTTGACTTCTGAAGCAAGTTGGCTGAACAGGGTTTTATTTAGGTATTAAAGTGGAATAAAATGATACATTTAATAAATCAAAATCAAAACAAATGTAGCATGCATACACACACAACAGCTGCTACTTTGTGTTTGGCTGATACGTGGGATAACATTAAACAGAACATTAAGAAAAAGGTGGTAACATTAAGAGAGATGCAAATGGGCTGTTTTGTTCAGAAGTGAGTTAAAACACCTGCTCCAAGAAGTTTAAAATGCATAGTGATTCTTATCTCCATACATTTTACAAGAATATTCTTGCATAAACTGCCAGAAATCTGCAGCAGCAATTATAATGATTAATTTGTATTCATTGTCTGCTTTATTCTTTCCCTTCCCCTAAGCAGCAGGCACACAAGATTAAGTCAAGCTACAAATCACTGGCTGCAATCCCAACAAACACAATTCTCTTGGACCAGCAAGTGAGTTCACATATTTAACTCTAATCCCTCTAATTCATCCAGTTATCCTGTTAAACATCCAGAAGACGGTTTTAATCCCCAATAAATTTGCCAGGTGTCGGTGGGAATAATTTACATGATAATATCAGTAGAAGTGCAAAAGAAAGTTTAAATCAAACCTGTAAAGTTTATAATTTATGATTAAATATTTCCTGAACATGTTAAGTGGTATTTTTTTAAACAATTATTTGAATATTTGGTCCTTTCCACGTAACACTTTCTTTGGGCACTTCACAAGAGGTGTAGTAAAAATTGCACCCTGGCTTTTTTCTGCAGTTTCCCATGAGAACATTTTTCTTGATTTATATATATACCCAAGCCTTTTTTTTGTAAGATATATATTTATCAACTTGTTATTCAGCAGAGCTGTCTGAAGCATTTGCACATTACAACAGTCTCACCTCTCAAAAATGCAAAGTATTTTTCCTTATAATTCTCAAATATTATCTAAGAAAAGCAACATAAGGCAACATCCTTGCTCATGATTATTAATGAAGGTTTTGTACAATTGAGTTTTTTCTTTATTATTGCCATTTTTGTTTTACTTAAACCCAAATAAACATCTAACTTTTGCAGAATAATTTTGTTGAATCTTAAAAGAATAAGCAGAACCTTACTAGCTCTTTCGGACCATTTTTCAAACTCTCTGGTCTTAATTCTTCATTTCTTTTTTGTCTTAAAACATTTATAAAACATTTCTTCTAGCTTTTTTCGTGCTTGTAATATTTTTTTTTCTAGTCTGAAAAACGCTTCACAGATTATCCACAAGTTCGCCTAAAAACCTAGATTGTATGCCTCTATTGACAGTTTAGTTCAGCTTTAATGTTTATTTTTAAAGATATGAAGTCCAACTTTAATGCAGCAAAAACAATCTAACAATAGAAATCTAAGTACCGTAAATGAATGTATCAATAGATTGGAGAACAAATCCCAAATAACATTTGTTTCTTACAAAATCAGTTGTGCAACATTTGTTTGTACAGTACCTGTCTTTTTAATACTTTACACAACTAAATATTTGATAAAATGACATAACCAAGGCTTCTTCTTTGTCAAACATAGATAATAATATTTCCTTAAAAGATAGAAAGGTCTTTCATCATACATTTTTGTGGAAGCTCTCCAGATTGGTCAGACACCCTTCTATTCACCTCTGCTCTTTTTTTTTCATCTCAGCCAACATGTTTTTGCTGGAGTAAGGTCAGAGGAATGAGATAAAATAAAAAAAGGTTGATTTGTGTATCAGCCTTTTATATTTTTTTCTGTCTCTTCTGGATCATCAGCTTGCTAATAGAAATAACGATGACCTATTTTCAGTTTTCTGGCAAAGAGTAGCATATATTTATTTTAAATCATGATGCCATTCACTTTGAAGGGGATTCCCACAGCATCAAAGATCCCTTTATTCTTCCTTATCTCCTCTGAGCAAAACATGTTGTCCCAGTTTAAGGTCTAGAGGAGATAAAATCCACACGCTTACCTTTTTGATGGTGGGACAGCAAACTTAATTAGCCAACTGTCTGGTATGTAGATATCATGCAATGGTTGTATATCTGTCTGTCTGTCTGTCTGTCTGTCTGTCTGTCTGTCTGTCTGTCTGTCTGTCTGTCTGTCTGTCTGTCTGTCTATCTATCTATCTATCTATCTATTTATCTATCTATCTATCTATCTATCTATCTATCTATCTATCTATCTATCTATCTATCTATCTATCTATCAAATTTAGTAATCAATTAATCACTAACTGGAATACAGAGACTCTAAAATATAAAGTAATCCAAAATATTCTTAAGTACAGTAGTAAAGTATTTTAACTTTGTTACTACACAACCTTGCATGAGGCTACATATCCTTTATAACTATCAGAGTGTGATCTCTTCCTGCTCCTGATGCTGGGGTAACAGCATCAGAGCAAACGACTTGAATAAGCTCATCAAGCTAATAAAGAAAGCCGACTCTGTCCTAGGAACTCCGCTGGAACCTCTGGAGATTATTTCAAAAAGAAAGATTTTTAATGAAGTGAAGAAGATCACAATATCATCTTCATAAGATTTTCAGAATCAGAATCAGAAATACTTTAATAATCCCAGAGGGAAATTACTTTCATACTTTCATAGAGGCTTTTTATACACCGGTGCAGAAGATCCTTTCTGCTTACAGCTATCAACACCTAAAACAATTTAATGAAAAACCAAACCAAAAAAAAAAACACTTTGAGTTACTTTAAAATTTAACTTCCCTTTTGGATTAATAAAGTATTTTTAAATTTGAATTTAACATATACAATAGATTTTGTGAATATCTTTTTTGACATACAACTTTGTTTCTTTAATAAAAAAAAAAAAAAAAAAAAAAATGACATGTTTACATGTAGACAATACTTATGGGGGCACTTTAAACAGTCTGCTACTTTTATTATTAATTTGACACAATTAGAGTTGACAGTCAATGTATATAGAGATTTTTTTTCCTTATGAAATGATAAGTCTTTAGGCTTTTAGGAGAAATATATTTCTTAAAACACATTTTAAGAAATGAATTTGAAGAAGTCCAGCCAGAGTTATGGAAACCAGATATGGCGAGTTTTTATGCAACTACATAATTCCATTAACATGGATCTTAAGTAAAGAATATGGACATGATTTCGGAGGAAAAGGTGCCATTTATAAGGATTTGACACTTCGAAAGAAAACAAAATTCTTGGATTGAAACTTTCTTTGTATTCACAGGCTATAGATGAAGAGGTAGAGGAAAAATTTAATTATAGCAACACCCAGGACAGATCTGATATAGACACCCATGAAGAGGTAAGACTAGAAAAAAAATCTTTTATTGCATTCATACATCATACTTCAAACAAAAGTGTTAATATTTCTGTTCTGTCTGTAGATGTGCTCCCCTGCTGAACTCCGGCAAAAGTCAGAGGAACTCTATGCAGTTATTGATGAGATACTTGCAAACACCGGTCCACCAGTGAGTTCAGTCATTCTTTACAACAAATGATGGTTCATAGTGTTGAAAGTTAATTACTCTAATTATTTCTTAAATGTATTATTACAACACATCCTGTGGCTAGAAGACCTCAAAGTCATCGCCTACCAAGAAGCATTTTGAGGTAAGATTTGTTACTGAATCCTCATTCAGAAAATGATGGGTTGTAATAACTCCAGCAGTTGATTTTCAAGTCTTGGGAATTAGATTAGGAAATTAAAACAGTTTTTTGCTGGATTTAGACCAGGAAATAATTTATTAACTAAAAAACAGTGCAAAATCGTGTCTGTTTATTAAATTAGGTATTTGTTTTAAATGTCTATTTTCACATAAAAAATAACCATTACTACTCATCACTGGAATATGGAAAGGTCAGCATGCAGTCCTTCAAAAACACATTTTTTACCAGTTGATTTACGAATTGTAAGGCTTAATAAAAAGTTATGAATGCATGCAGGTATGCATTCATAACATTCCTTGTCCTTGTAATGTTGGAGGGGGCTGGGGCCTACCTTCATCAGACATCCAGTGGGAGGGGTGGTACACTCTGGACAAGTCACCAGTAAAATAATATCTTTGTGAATATAATTACTTTAGGAGTTTATTTTAAAAGTTGCTGTTCATATTATAAAAAATAAATCAAGTATTTATTTATTTCCAATAAAATAAGGATTATATGTTTATATATCACAGTGTAAACCAGTGGAAAGGATTCAGAAAGTATGGCTGTTTTTACATCAATGCTTCTACTGCATTAATTACTGGATTGAAGCAGGTAATATGGAGGCAAACAGCCTCAGATGGAGCTGAGGTGATAACAGAGCTCAGGCAACTTTAACAGAACATTCTGGTTGTCTGAGAAGTTGGATCTGCTGTTTATTTTCTCCTTCTATTTGAAGGAGTCATAACTTAGTATAATCCCTCTGCAATTGTCTACAGTGCAAAAAACGGAAATCTAAGTAATTCAATTTTTCTTAAAATAAGTGTATATTCTTTTGAACTGAGCAGTTAAGTGAGACACTCTGCCAATGTAATAAGATAATTTACATTTAAAATAAGAAAAAAAACAACAACTGCAGCTTCTTATTTCAAGTTCGTAATACTTAATTATCTTAATTTATGGCTAGACATACTAATTTCATTGGCAGATCGTTTTATTTTCCTGCTCAAATTAAGGGTAATTAAATAAACTTATTCCAACAAATTTCTACTTATTTCTGCATAGTTATTGAAGTGTATAATTTAACGTTGTAAAGGAGAAAAATAATAAAATGTTCATTCTGACCCCCTTTTCGTTCCATCTTTTTATTTTCTCACACAACAATTTGACTTGTGTCTGTATGCCTTCATGTACAGATATAACAATACTGAAGCACTTCATGCAATATGTCCTCTGCTCAGATAAACAAAAACATGCAGAGCAGTTTATAAAGTACCATATGGTAGAGCAACAAAATGAGGGGGTTTAAAACAAAACATGACTAAAATCTGTAAGTATTACATGGAGAGATAGCATTAGTAACATTAAAAGATGCCATAGTTTCTTTACTATAGTTTCCTGCTCTCCTACACAATGGAAAAAGTTACACAAGCAGCGACACTTAGTGACTTTGCAGGTGAGTCCCTGATTTTAAAGCCATCTTCACCTGACATTTTCCCAATGCTGAAACATTATGATGCAAAATGCACAGACATAAGTGGTTACAGGGAGAGTCAGTTGAACATTGCTATCAAGGATAAACTTAACTGCTTCTTTGTAATATGGTCCACACATGGAGGCAAACTAAAAACATTTGCTTGTTTATTTTTGCAACTCACAACAGTTTGAGGCACCTTTGTACGAATAATACCAAGGACCAAAGCCATGCTTGATGGAGGCCGTGGCTATGTGGGCTTTTCCTGGTTTGAACGACATAGAAAAAACTCAGCTGTTCTCAGACTCCAGGTTGTCGGGCCGGTTTTAACTAACGCCCAACACCAACACACACCTTTAAAGATGAAGAAGTTAGATTTCCAGGTGATGACAGCTTTAACAATGACTGTTGATCCTGCTGAAAATTGAAATGCGCATGTCCAGAAAGCTTGTCAACAGGTCATTTACTGTAAAGGACCACTCTGATATAGGAATAAATAAAACACAGTGGAGCAACATAAGGGGTTTGCTCCTAAATCATCAGTGTTTGTGGAAACTTCATGCTGGATCAGATTAGCAGTCTTGTCGCTTTCCTCTACAGCTCGGGCAAGCTACATTAGATGCCGTCTAGGGTTCAAAAGTGGCTTACTTCAAGGAATGGAGGAGTTATATCCCACGTTTTCTTTTTACTGTCCTTTCTGAAGCGTGTTAATCCCAGTAGACTAACAGGATGCAGACAGGAGAGGCATTAGCCATAAGTTTGAGTTTGAGCAACAAAAAAAAGTTTTTAAGAAACAAACACTTCCAGAATTCCTTCAGTCAGTTGTAGAAACACAAATTCTCAGTACTTAAACATTAGCAGTAAGAGAGATTGAAATTTCTATAAAATTTGCATCAATGAGAAAAACACATTTCTTAATTTTTTATCAAAGGAGGCAGGCTCATGAAGTTTGTAGAGGAAACACGATCAGTTCAAAGAGTCATCCAGTTTATGTCAGTTTGTTGTGGGTTGAGGGAAGCTGCTTGTCCAGACTGGACTAAATCAGGGCTGACAAAAAAATAAGTTTACTGAGGCAAATACATCTTTCCTTTAGAGATGAAAAAATCCTAACATACTCTAAATATAAACTTAGACTTACAGAATTAGACGCTTTCTTTATCCCACCGCGGGCAATTTGTTTGAGAAATACACAAGACAAAGAGAAATAAACATATAATGATATAAAAAATAAGATGACTAAGTACCTTAAGTATAAAAGCACCTTTTTTGCTTTTATGGTTGTGACTGAATTTATAAAAGTGTTCCACATTGATAGGTGGAAATGCACTGTTTTCTTTTTATTAGATTTCTTTTTGCTTTGTCATTTCCAGCACAATCCTGCATTTTCAAAGTCCTTTGGGCGTGAAACCAAATACGTGAGTAGCTGTCATTTTTTCCCTTTCCAGCCATATCAAGGTCTTGATCCCAACAGAGCTTCTGTTAAAGCTGCTAAAAGTTGCTGCTTCATCATTAGAATTTTCACCAAAGTGTTTAAGGAATTTATGACTGTCATGTCAGCATTTTATCACCTAAGGGATATTTTTCCACTGGGAAGCATATTGATAAAAACATGAAAGGTGGATGCTGCCTGCATGTTGAAAGAATTTATTTTAAATTTAAGTGCAGTTAGAATCCCAATTTCTAAGCTTGATGCATAAAATTAAAAAGAGCAGGTAAGCTCCTTTAGAGATTTCCATTTTTGGTGAGAAAATCAAAGAGAGCAAATTTATTTTGGCAGCATGTGCATAAAGAAACCAGTAGAAAAGGCAACCCCTACTTTAAAATCCTATTATTTAGATTTGACTTCAGTGATTATAAAGGGATTTATGTTTCGATATTTGTTTCAAATTAAATATTATAAGAGGAAGCTTCCATTATACTTCAATCTCTATCTTTTAAAGTCAAATGTAGCTAGTAAATGAATATCCCTCTTGGAAATTTACAGATATTTAACAAAACATATTTTAATTCACATTCACAAAAGGATCTTTCTTAAATTTAATATACAATAGGAACATTAACTACATTTCACTGGGAATGGCATAAAGGAGAAATTCCAAACTAAACAACGTATTCAAAAAAAATTTGCTTTTGCATTTTAAATAAATTACTGTTATATACATAGCGACTCAGTGCTCTTCTTGTCTAATCTGATCCATAGAGCATTATTTTCATTCTGTAAATGTAGACGGCAAGAAAAAAAAGGTAATCAATAAAGAGATGTCATTTATACACTTAAATGCAGTTTTCCATGCAGACTTTTGTCATTATTTCCAGCAGGCATTGAATGCTTTCTCTTTGTTTAGGCATCTTTGTGCAGCTTGCACCCATCTGCCAATAAGGAGAGAAAACTGACAGATATTGAAAAGGTACAAAATCTTTTACCTAAATAAAGCTGCTGCTACAGCTTTTATGAAAAAGCAAAAAAAAAACCCCAAACCTTTTGAGGTGTGTATTTTAAAGCTGCCTGTGGAAACAAGCTAATGTTGTTGTTTTTTTCACTCTAGACAAAACCCGGGGTGATTCGCCCGATGACAGCTATTCCTAGACTGACAGATGAGGTCGAAGACTGGTTTAAATCAATTTCCTTGAGGAAGTATTTTAAGCAAGCCATAACTCAGAGGGAAAAGGTGAGATTCATATTAAGGTTCATGATATAATGGCAGGCCTATATTTAGGACATAGCCAATGGCCTTTATCTATTTAGAAAATCCAGTAGCTAAAAACATAACAGGTCACTGGTGAAATTGATGAGTTAGCTCAATGAAAGCAGAGGGAAAATATATCAAATAAGCCCTGTTATAATCTGTAGGTAACAGAGAAGCAGGATAGCAAACTGTTTAGATGTGTGTTGCTCAGGTGACTGTAGAGGAGGAGGCTCTGTGTCACATCAAATAATGAGAAGTCTGACCAATCACAGGGGGAAAGATTCAACTGAGTATTTTTTATCTCTGCCTGTGACTGCAGATGTGCATCCAAGCAACAAAAAAAAAAGGTACTGCTCTACATATATTCCCAACGTACCAAGACATTAGACTTTAAAGAAGATGTGTATTTTCACTATTAGTTTTTTTTTTAGTATTTTCTGATCTAGTCTTTAGTTCTACATTTTATCTATAGATCATACATCCCGTTGAATTTTGAAACCAGTTATTTCCTTGAGGTTTGTTTTCTATTTATCCACGATGCAGCTGTTCTTTTTCCCCCGTTGGGTTAAGTCTGGGACATTTCTTAGCATAGCTTGGGCTTCTAGTTTCTAAGAATTTCCTGTTTCCTTGCAAACATGTTTCCCCTTATTACTGATTATCAGCCAGATGGACGAATCAGCAGAATACACCAATTCAAGATTAGGTTTGTCTTCCATTACTTAGCTTTCCAAACAGCACCAACCTGTCACTAACAACCCTCAGTCTAAAATATCTGATCCAAAACTAGCATGAAACAGCTGCAAGTAAAAAATCAGAAACTCATTAAAATGAAATTTTGGATGAGGCTAAATAACTTAACATGTCTGAATCCTACTTTGAGTCATACTTTCCCGAGCCACTTTTTACTGCATTTACAGCTGCAATTATACCTCTCTACCACCCACTCATCTAGTGACTGAAATTAGTGACAACATTTTTTTGCAAAACAGCTAAGACTCATTTAGTTTAGATGAGGAGCCTTTGTGAATGGCAGTTTTTAGATCGCCCGGACAGATTATTGTTTGGGGTTTATTTCTCAACTTTGACTGGGTTATTCTAACAAGAATATTTTTTGTTTTAAACTGTAGCCATGTTTTTTTTAAGGTCTTTGTCCACCTGGAACATGATCCTCTGCCCCAGTCTTGTGCCTTTTGCAGACTACAACAGATGTTTGTTTAAATATTGGCCTGTATTTAGCTCAGTCAGTCTGGTGTTTGGTTTTGTCAGACCCCAGCACCTTCTTTCACATGTTTATGTCCCCAATATGGCTTCTAGCAAACTGCTAATGTGACTTCATATGGTTTTCTTTTAGCAATGCCTTTTTCTTGCCACTCTTCCATAAAGACCACATTTGTGCAGTGCACAACTAGTAGTTGACCTGTGGGTAGGTTTCCCCATCTGAGCTGTGGATCTTCGACCAGATTCACCATGGGCCTCTTAGCTGCATTTATCATCAGTACTCTTCTTGTTCGTTCTTTTTATAGCCTAGGATTGCTTAACATTTTTTCATTTCTTTATTCCTAACCATTCCGGTGTGTTCTTTGGCTTTCGTGATGCTCTTTACTCCCATATCTTCTCGTAACCAACCTCTGAGCAGGTGTATTTGTGCTGAGTATTAGATTAAATACAGGTGGTCTCTGTTTAGTCACCAGCGATCATCAGGCAACTTAGGAAGGCAATTGTTTGCACCCAGAGAAAAGTGGATTCACCAGTTTTTCCTACCACACTTTTCAGTTTTTATTTGTAGAAGTTGTTTTATATCATGCGTTTGTGTTAGTCTTTACCTTAAGATTCCAATAGAATATGTTTATGTTTGTGGTTGTAATGTGACAAATTGTTGAAACACCAAAAGTGTATCAATACCTTTGCAAGTAACTGTATATTTCATAATAATTATTTCAAATGCTTTCTAATACTATTTCATTTATTCCTATTTATAGATAATGATGTGCTCTAGGTCAGCATGAATTTATATTATTTCACAACCTTATGAAACAGGTATCTACACTTTAAATAAGGAAATTAAAATAAATCTCTATTGTTGGGAGCTGGTTAATGAGCAAAGTCAAGAAAAGTCGACTTGTTTCATTTTGAGTCTTACTTGAAGGCCAAATCTGAAATCATACTGCTGCAGAAATTAGATTATGTTTTATAAATGCAAAAGCAACCCAATTTTAACCACGTTGATTTAAGCTTAGTTAGTATGATTAAGGAAAACATACTTAATGTCATAGCTGCAACTTTTTCATCAAAACTATTCCAGAAACAGCTTCTCCACAGACCTATGGTGAAAAATAAATGTATTACTCATACTAGGGCTAATTGATTATTTCTTGATTCTTTTAGTGTTTTGGTTTTTGGCCTTGGCTTCCTAATTCTTTGGTTTTCGGCCAATAATTTTCATTTTGCTAAATCCCTATTTTTGAAGGGTTAAAAACAAATAAGGATTTATTTCTGGGTACCATGGAAACTTTGACGGGAAAGGATTCCTCACTAACAGTAATAGTAGCTGGAAGTCATGTGAGATGGAGCTCAAGCCAACGAAATAACAAAAAAAGAAACAAAGCGAGGGTTATGATTTTTCAAGCTTTAGAACAATGCCAATGTAAGAAAGCAAAGCATAATGCCACTTTTTTTCTTAACTAGTAAATTACATGTTTGGTTTCAGGGCTGCCAACTCAGTAAACATTAAATAAGGGACATTATTTAATGAGGGGCCTCGTGGTTAGAGCAGTGCACTCTAAGGATGCAAGTACCCAGTTCGATCCTAACAGCCTGATCTCTGAGTTTCTGAGCAAGAACCTTAACCCCACACCGCTCCCCGGGCACCACACAACGGCAGCCCACTGCTCCCCAAGAGGATGGGTTAAAAGCAGAGGTAAATTTTTTCCAGTGGGAGATCAAGAAAGTTCAATTATTATTATTATTGCACAGGTATTGTCTTCCACTCTACCTACTATATGAATTTATTTTGCCTTTATGTGTTAATTGATTTTTTAAACATTTAAATCAAACCTGAAATGAATTAGACACCTATTTTATTTCTTAAACATGGACAGATACCTTCTTTTAATGGACAATTAGCAACCCTATTTGATATGGCTAGTATAAGCATTAGCGGACCAGGCAAACGGTACAAAACGAGAGTTGAGGAGCGCTGGTGCACCACTTACTGGCCGGAAGGAGTTAAACTTGTAGATATCACTTTTAAGTCTGCCTGTTAGCTGCTTGGTACGGTATATTGCTGTTTCTCTCTGGGCCTCTCCACCATCCCCTCATCGCTGGATTAGGTCTCACACAGAAACTCAGCAGGGTACGTTTTTTTTGTTTTGTTCTGAGGGTTTTGTCTACCCTCAGACTGTGGTTGGGGAAAATATAGATTTTTTTTCTATTCCAACAGAGCCTTGGTTTACTTTTTCAGAGAAGAAATCTAATTCAAAACATTTAGATAACAATGTCTGTCGTCTGTGTCAGAAATAATGATAAAAATAAAACCAGCTGGAAGTTCTGCAGATGTCAGGGACTTGCAGTGCGCTGCAAGAATCTTAGTGGGGAAAAGAGAAGGTTTGTTCTCCTGTCTTTATTTCAAACAAAAATTGGATTATTACTTTTAAAGATCATTTATTTCTACTAGCTATTCATATATGTTTAAATTGAACTGAATAGCCAAATCTGCTGGACCTCTCATGAGTTCCTCTCATGAGTCTCACTCTTCTAAGAAGGAAATTCTTCGTTTTACACAAAATGACAGCAGCTTGAACATTGAACATAAATGACACAAGAACAGGGTGAGTGTTGATGTTCACTAGTATAGTGCACTGAATTATTTAGAGTTAGAAAAGCCACCCTCATAGGCTGCAGGAACCGCTGCTGCTGATGGCTGGCAGCAGAGTGAGAATGAAAAACATACAGAGGTCTTCATAGGCTCATTCTCACAGGTGCTTATAAAATGAAGGTTACTGAGCTGAGGCTGGGATGCAAGAATAACTACATATTTTTAACATTTATTACTGTTCCACATAAAAACAACCAACCAAAAATCATCTAACATTAGTGAGATATGCTATTTATGTATAGAGGTTCCAAACTAAGATTACGTTGATATCCTGAAACAACCAAATAAAGTCAATCTATTAAAGTAATTGGAGTTAAAACAGCATCATGTCAGTAAACTTTAAAGTAGATCACATCAGTGTAGTATATCAGTCATAAGCCATGCTGGGATAGCAAAACTGTAGTTTTAAGAAGAGTTACTAAATAAAATATAAAATAATCTGTGGGATAATGAGGATATTATTCATTTTGTATACACTACTTGTATACAAAATTACAATAAAGGTTGTCTAAGTCTAATATTAATTCCTAGTTATATTTCAATAATTAGCAAATATTGCTGCCATTTAAAAAATATATAAATTAAACAGAATGACTGAGGGAAGGAGTTACTAATTACTCAATAAGATCCTCTTCAAAAGGGATGGAAATAAAATCTGACTCTGAACCCACTTTAGGCTGATCAGCTGCTGAGTATTTTTCAGAGGAAGGATCAACTCTCAGGGAAATTATGAGTTATTTTTACACATTAGACCTTTTCAAAGAGGTGCCAGACAGGGTAAATACAGCATTTTGAGACTGCGGGGCATTTGATTCAGAAGGATTATAAGTCACAATACATGTGGGAAATACCTTTTCAGTTTATCTAAGATCATTGCTCCAGAGGAGATTAGTTCTTTTTACTGGAAGGTGAGGATGGCACTGCTGACCGAACCACATCACCTACACTGTTATTTGATTACAAATATCAAACATATATTAAAATAGTAGATTATAACTAACAGTGTTTTGTTAAAAGTCATTGTTTATCAATTATGAAAATATATTTATAATTAACAGCTTGGATAATCACATGATATAAAATTTATTTTTAAAGCAGTTGTTAATCT